CTGGGCCCATGGCTGCCGGGCAGGGTGGAGGGGCCTGCAGCCACAGCCCAGGCAGGGACAGTCCTGCCCGCCCGACCGGCTGAAGAGGCTCCGCTTGCAGGACTGGGCCTGACGAGGACGCCTCCTGGAAGGGGGTCTTCCCGAGCTGGGATGCCTCTCTGGTGTCCAGCTCCGGGGGTGGCAAGTGGGGCTTCCGGCCTCCCACCCCTGCAGGGCTCTGTGGCTGGGGGACGGCAGAGAGGCTTCCGGGTTGGTCAGTGCACCTATGTTGCAGACCGGGTCTCCGTCTGCAGCCTCGACATTCTGGGCTCAGGCGATCCTCCGGCTTCAGCCTCCATAGTGCTGGGACTCCAGGCGCCACCACACCTGGCTGATTTTTTTACTCTTTGTGGAGACGAGGTCTTGCTGAGTTGTCCAGGCTGGCTCAAGCTCCTGGTCTCAGATGATCCTCCCACTCAGCCTCCTGAGTGGCTGGAACTGCAGCCGTGCACCACCACGCCCAGCTACATTTTGAATTTTTGTGGAGACAAGGTCTCGTTCTGTTGCCTAGGCTGGCCTCAAAGTCCTGGACTCAAGCAGCCCTCCCACCTCAGCCTTCCCAACTGCAGGGACGACAGGCTTGCGTCCCCGGCCCGCCCCTCTGGGGACTGAAGAGGGCTCAAGTGGGTCTGCAGGTCGCTGGACGGGGGCCCGGAGAGACCCCAGGGCAGGCTCGGGGAGCGCGGCCCGGGGTCGTTTTGCTCACTGGCCAAGGTCTTTCCTCGGCTGGGACCATGCAGCCTCCATCTGGTCACTCGCCCACCGTCCTGTCCCTGTCCTGTCCATCCCTGCCGACGGGGCCACCCCAGGAGCCCAGTGAGGAGCAGCCAGGTGAGTCCAGGAAACACTCCGCCTGCCGTGTTCCTGCTTCTCCCCTGAGCCCCCGCTCTCTCCATCCCAAAGCCTCCCACCCTCCAGGACCCCCTCCACGACTCCTCCCCCGGGAAGGCTTCCCTGACCCTCCACGGGGCCTGACTCTCCCTGCCAACTCCCTGCGGCGCACGCCGGCCTTGGTGGAATCAGACTGTCGTGCTTCCTGTCCCTGGTGGTCCTGGAGGACGGGGCAGCCTGGCTGGGTCCCTCTCCTCCTGGCGCCCCTGCACAGAGCTGTCTATGCAGCGGGCACCCCACGTGTGCTCAGCGTAGCGAGGTAGAGTGCTGACGGCCATCGGTTATCTGTGCTGGCCCAGGTGCAGCTTCTGAGAGCCCACAGCCGCCTGCTTCCCCTCTGGGCCTCTCCAGGGTCCCCCGGGCCTCTGCATGGCCTGACGTGCGGCAGGTGGGGAGTCAGGGATTTTCCTGGCCTCCCCGGTTCCGTTGGAGAGAGCCCTGGGGCACAGAAGTC